GACAAACTACCTCATTTGGAAGCAGCAAGTCATCACTGCCATTCGAGGTTATGGAGTTGAAGGGTACATCAATGGTGATACTCCAAAGCCAGAGAAAATGATCACAGATCCACAGTCAAATGAGACTCAGGTAAACCCAGACTACCTCTTTTGGGTCAGGCAAGACCAGCTTTTGGCCTATTGGCTCATGTCCTCACTCAGTGATGGAATCTTGGTGATGATGGTTGGCTTGAACACTGCCCAAGAGATATGGGAGACCATTGAAAACAACTTTGCAAGCCAGTCTTCAGCTGGAATAATGCAATATAAACTGAAGCTTCAAACAATGAAAAAGGCAGGTTCATCCATGAGAGAATACCTCAGCAAAATCAAGAATCACTGTGATATATTGGCTATTGCTGGTGAGAAGGTCTCAGAACAGAACCAAGATTCTTCATATCTTAACTGGTTTAGGGCCTGAGTATGACTCAGTGGTGGTGAATGTGACCTCAAGATTTCCTCCTCACACCTTGATTGAAGTGCATGCTTTGTTGTTAACCTATGAATCTAGGCTGGAAATGAACCAAGGCTCAGTTGTAAGCTCAGAGGGATCACAACCTTATGCCAATGTTGTCACTCAGAATCCCATGAGAAACTACAACCAGAATTTCAACCAGTTTAAGGGAAATAGAGGAAATTTCCAAGGAGGAAGAGGTGGAAGAGGCCCTTACAGAGGCAGAGGCCGTGGAAGGAATGCAGACAACAGGCCACAGTGTCAGATTTGTCAAGGAATGAATCACACAGCAGACAAATGCTGGTACAGATATGACACTACACCTGCAAACCAAAATGGGAACCAAAATCAGCAGCCTCAAAGAAGGAACCCTACTCTGAATATGGTGCAAGTTCACGGCACAAACACCTACTCTGATGTTGGCTCAGAAACAAGTTGGTTCCCTGATTCAGGAGCTTCCAATCATGTCACAAATGAGCTTGAGAACCTCAACATAGCATCTGAGTACACTGGAAGCAACAAGCTCCTAATGGGAAATGGAGATGCTGCAACTATCACACATTTTGGTAACTCTCTTATCCAGCACCCAAATCACTCCAAAGTTTATGTTCTGAAAAACCTATTGCATGTCCCTCAAATCAGTAGGAATCTTCTCAGTGTATCTCAATTTGCAAAGGATAATAAAGTGTTTTTTGAATTTCATCCAAGCCTTTGTTTTGTAAAGGACCAGGAAACTCAAGAGGTCCTGCTCAAGGGAATTCTTAAAGATGGATTATACAACTTCAACTTGCAGTGTCTAAAGAACAAGCAGCCTCATCCTTTGTCTTCTCAGTCCATTCAAGAAAATCAGCAAGTACTTGGCTTACAGCCTTTCTCTTATTTTTCAAAAATTGGTGAATGTAATAGCCTAGAATTATGGCATCAAAGACTTGGTCATGCAAACTATGAGAATGTTAAAAGAGCCTTAAGATTATGTAACTTGGATTTTAAATCCAAAGATGATGATACTTTATGTGCTTCTTGCATGATGGCAAAAAATCATTCTCTTCCTTTTGATCATTCTGAGTTCATGTCTTCTTATCCTCTTGAGTTAATTCATACTGATGTTTGGGGCCCTTGTCATGTTAAAGCTTTGAATGGATATGGATATTATGTGAGCTTTATAGATCATTATTCTAGATTTGCTTGGATATACTTGTTGAAAGCCAAATCAGATGTTATCAGTGCATTTACAAGTTTCAAAGCTCTAGTTGAAAATCAATTTGATAGAAAAATTAAAACCCTACAGAGTGATGGGGGAGGAGAATACCAAGCTTTGACTAGATTACTGCAAGAAAGTGGCATTGTTCATAGGATTTCATGTGCTTACACACCTCAGCAGAATGGTTTAGCTGAGAGGAAGCATAGGGACATTGTGAACATGGGCCTCTCTCTATTGGCTCACTCTCATTTCAAGCAGGACGAAGTTGCTTATATACTGCGAGCGTTCACACTAGGGGTGGTACCGTAATTAACCAAGAGTGTGTTTCAAGCAGGACGAGGCTGTTTATATACTGCGAGTGTTCACACTAGGGGCGGTACCGTAATTAACCAACTCTTTAAGTGTGAACGCAACAAACCAAGTAATTACGGTACCGCCCCTAGTGTGAACACTCGCAGTATATAAACATTGCCATTATGCTATTGGGGAGATGCTTTTGTTACAGCAACATACCTCTTGAATAGAATACCTAGCAGGCCAATGAAGTTCAAATCCCCTTTAGAAGTCCTTTATGGCCATAAGCCTGATTACAAGAGGTTGAGAGTTTTTGAATGTCTGTGCTACCCTTACATGAGACCCTACAATAAGCATAAGATGGAGTATAGATCTTGTGCAGGTGTGTTTCTGGGGTATAGTAACCAGTACAAAGGCTATAAAGTGCTGCTGCCAAACAGGAAGATAATCATAACCAGAAATGTGCATTTTGATGAAACAAAATTTCCTTATGCTGATAGAGGAATCTGTCAAAATGATGCACTCCAAAATGACAAGGCCTGCAATCTCCCTGGAATTCCAACTTTAGTCAAGGATGCTGGTGCAAATAGAGAATCATTACAGGAAAATTTGAGTCAGAACACCAACTCAACCTTAAGTACACCAGTGAGCATACCAAGCCAAGGCAGAAGCACTTCTCATGCAAGCAGCAACTCAAATAATAGTCTTCCTGCCATACCTTTGGTAGTGCAATTACCACACATTGGAGACTCCACAGAAGCCAGAGATAGAGATGAAGAAGCGAGAAAGCACCCTATGATTACAAGAGCCAGAGCAGGAATACACAAGCCAAAGGCCTATCTGGTTCAAGAAGAAGAAGTGGAGCCAAGATCATTAAACCAGGCACTGTTGTTGAAAGAATGGAGGGCAGCAATGCAAGATGAAATAGAAGCCTTGGAAAGAAATAAAACTTGGTGCCTAACTACACATCCTACTGGAAAGAATATTTTGGGATGTAAGTGGGTGTTTAAGATCAAAAGAAGAGCAGATGGCAGCATATCAAAGTACAAAGCTAGACTAGTAGCCCAAGGGTACTCACAGAAACCAGGTTTTGACTTTACTAAGACTTTTAGCCCGGTTGTCAAACACAACACAATAAGGATAATGCTCACCTTGGCCATACAGCAAGGATGGAAGATAAAACAATTGGATGTAAGCAATGCTTTCCTCAATGGAGACCTCAATGAAGTCATCTACATGAAGCAGCCACCAGGTTTTGAGAAGAAGGGAGCTGAACACTTGGTCTGAAGATTGTCAAAGGCTTTGTATGGCTTGAAGCAGGCTTCTAGGGCCTGGTTTAGCAAGGTTAAAGAGGCTCTTAAGTTGATGGGGTTCAGTGACTCAAAGGCTGACAGTTCCTTGTTTTTCAGAAACAGTCAAAGCGGCTTCTTGTTTGTGTTAATCTATGTTGATGACATCTTAGTCACAGGTACTCACAGCACTGAGATAGACAATTTTGTGAAGAATTTTGGAAGGAAGTTTGCTATCAAGGACCTTGGAGAGGTAGAACACTTCCTTGGTGTTCAGGTAACTAAAACTGTTGATGGCCTACATTTAAGTCAAGAAAAATATATATGTGAACTGCTGAAGAAAATGAAAATGAATGATGCTAAGGGAGTTCCAACACCCATGGTCTCATCTCTCCACTTATCTAAGGAAGATGGAAACCCCACTGTTGATGGTACTTTGTACAGGAGTGTGGTAGGAACTCTGCAGTACATCACTCTAACTAGGCCAGAGATAAGCTATGCAGTAAATAAAGTCAGTCAATACATGTCTTGCCCTTTGGATACACATTGGAAAGCTGTAAAAATAATTTTGAGGTACTTGGCAGGGACAATGGATCATGGATTACACTTCAAGAAGTCTGGTAGTCTTAACATTAGAGCTTTCTCAGATTCTGATTGGGGGGCAGACATTGATGACAGAAGATCTACCACAGGCTACTGTGTGTTCCTTGGAGAAAACTTAATATCTTGGTGCTCCAAGAAGCAAGCTTCAGTGTCTAGGTCAAGCACCGAGGCAGAATATAGAAGTCTAGCACATGCATCTTCTGAGGTAACATGGATTAACTCCTTGCTTACTGAAATAGGACTCAAGTTGACTCAAACACCTATTGTATGGGTTGATAATCAAAGTGCAGTTTTCTTAGCCTCTAACTCAATCATGCATGGGAGAACTAAGCATGTAGAACTTGATTATCATTTTGTTAGAGAAAAGATTGAAAAGGGTGATCTTCTGGTTTGCCATATTCCTTCAGTTGAGCAGATAGGAGATGTGTTTACCAAGCCTCTATCTATCCAATTCTTCTCTCGGTTAAGGAACAAGTTGGGTGTTACAAGTAAGGCCTCGATTGAATTGAGGGGGAGTGTTAGCAAACCTGATGATTTGGCAGATGAGTTGGAAGCCAATGTGGCAGTTTGTTCTCGGTCAAAAGCAAAGGAAAAGAGACTTGTGCATGAAGACAATGGCATTTATTGCCATGCAACTTTACCTGCATGTACAAGGACAAACTCGAGTTTGGATGTTTTGTAGCCGTAGGATCACTTTGGTTATTGGACAGATGTCCACTTTATCTACCTTAGAAATCTTGTATAAATGTTGAATCTTGCACTGTAACCAATAACTAGGTTTTATCAAAAATATTGCAGCTGCTATGCAACTCGTTCTTTTCCCTTCACTGTTCATGAATTTCATAATGATTTTGTATTCAAAATTCCATTAATCCAAAGACAACGATAAAGCCAAAATATATTTTTTATTTCCGAATATTTAAACACCTTAACAAATTTCCATGACAGAATCAAATCACAATATCAAATAATAACAAAACGATTACTAGATTCAATAAGACTATCAAATTCGAACTGACTCACTGGCTGCGGCCTTCTTCTTAAAAAATTTCCGGCATCTGAGGTCGTTGGGGGCGGCGGAGTTTTTCGATCGGAACCCTAATTCGGCGAATTTTGCTTGATGGTGGCCGGGTGTGATTTCTCGATTTCGGCGTATGGTTGCGCCTCTAAACAATGTCTACTCAAGTTCTTTGAAGGCTCGGTGATGTCGGACGGTGGCCTTTGAAGGCTAGGCGTAAAAAAATTTGAGACTCAATAGACTGTGTAACAGATTTGAGTAGACATAATCTGTGTAACAAACTATCAGATATCTGCGCATTCAAATATATTTATCTGCTAACAAACTATTGGTTCATCGACTCTAACTAATTTTTTTTCGAATGTTTCTAACAGATTCATAGTGATAGTAGAAGACTGATTCAAGGAGTTTTTTTATTACAAAAACCGAGTAACTCATGTTTTCATTAACTCTTACAAAAACAGAAAAAAAAGAAAAAGAGTAGCAATGGAGGACGACGACAGAATATCCCAGCTGCCAATACCTATACTTCACCACATAGTATGTTTCATCTCCCAGAAAGAAGCTCTGAGAACTTGTCTACTCTCCAAAAAATGGCGCCACATAGGATTAAACCGCCCTAATCTCAAAGTTTTCGAAGAATGGTTCGACGACACAGAAGAAAAGTTTGTCTCCGTCAACTGCTCCGTAGGATCAACTCTCCCCAACCTCAATTTGTTCAACAGTACACCACAAAACTTTGTCTACATAGTCAACCAAACCCTACAAGGATACCTTGATCAGAACCTCTCCATACACAAACTCCGTCTCGACTTATGCAGGCCCGTCTCACGACCGGTCATCTCCCTTCTCGACAAATGGATCCCGATAATAGCCGCCCTCAACATAAAAGCGTTTGAACTCAACTTTCTTTCATATACACCTGCGTATTACGACCTGCCCTCTGCAGTGTTCTTAGCCGAGTCCCTCGAAGAACTACACTTATGCAAATGCAGGCTGAGCCCTATTGAGAGTGTGCGGTTTAAAAGTTTGCGCAAGCTCACCCTCAAACGGGTCCAAGTTGATGGCGGGACTTTTGTCACGATAATGTTGGGCTGCCCTTTGCTCAGGTGCCTTGTCCTTAAATGTTGTTGGGAGTTGAGAAACGTTAGGGTGAGCGAAGAGGCATCGCCTGCGCTCAAGCACTTTGTATTGTGGGATTCCGAGAGGATCGAAGGGCGTAGCATCAAAATCGATGTCCCCAATCTCGAGATGGTCTCTTTCGATGGCCCATGGATTTGGTGTCACTGCCGAAGCGCATTCTCGTTCTCTCGTCTCACGAGTTTGGATCTCGATAGTGTGATCCTGTCGAGCGAGTCGTTCGACCTCTTCTCGTTCGGCTGCCCAACTCTTGCGAGATTGACCCTACATAATTGCTCCGGTTTCGAGGAGTTCCATCTTGCAAGCGATTCGGTCAAGTTCTTGACGATCTCGACACGCGAAATATTGCTTAAAGGAGCTACGGTTTGTGTCCCCAACATTCTCGAGTTCACGTTCAAAGCCCGTATTCTCCAAGTGCCAGACACATTCTCTTTCACGACCACTACCTCCGAGGTGTGGCACTCGTATATATTCCTCTCGTCGTATGAGGATGATCCCGATTTCGACGCCAATTCGTGTTTCCTTGAGCTGAGACGATTGCTCAAGGCATTAAGTGGGTCTGAGATTTCTATGTTTCTGGATATGGACGGCGGCCCTCAGGATGTCCCTTGTAGTGCTGTGATTGGTGACGAGCCGCCTGTGGTAGTGTGGAGCTTGAAGTTTGATACTTGTAAATGTCACACGACGTCTTGGTACTTGGAGTTAACAAATGGCTTGTTTCGTGTTTTTCGACCGAGTCGAGTATGGTGTGGTAGGTTCGTGAGCAAGTCGGACAGGAAGAAGTACTACAGGCTCTTGGAGTTCCAGTTACACATTTTGCTTGCAAACAAGAAGGTCGATTTGGAGGAAGTTTGCATCGATGAGCAGCTCGTGCAGTGGACAGACCTGTCGGAATTGCGAAACAGGATATATGACAAGGAAATATGGCTTCAGTTGAAATGGAGAGATCAGACAGGGAAGTATGGCTTTTGTTGAAATGGAGAGGTCATTAGTACTAGGCTCGCTTGCTTTTCTATTTACTATACCTCTCTCTTACACAAATGGGTTTAAATTTTTCTAATTGTTATGTCATCAGTGGAATAGTATGCGTTTTGATCAAGTACACAACAAAAATAATCCATTTGATTTTTTCGTGAGAAAGAGTGTTGAGCGGCAATTGACTACAGATTGGTAACTCAATTGTTCTTCTACTAAGTGTCTGTTTCATGATCAGCTTTGAGTGTCTGTTTCCTTGGAACAGTTTAGTTCATGGTTGTAGCATGATTAAATATACAGGGTGGTGCTAGCCGTATCATCGGGATCCTTGTAAACTGCAATTATTTAGGATAGAGAGGGAGAACAAGTTACAAAAAAAGTAGGAATGTGTATTGAGAAACATATAGGACCATCATTTCATTTTATTAGATGACTGACACAAGTACAAATATATATACGTGTCATTCGTCGGACGAATTGCAAGAGAATGCATTACAAAAGGGACGTAAAAGTGTACCAGGAAATTTTATTTCATCTGTATAGAATTCAATATAGAATCCAACATTCTCATTTTTTAAATAAAAAATTCCATTTCCTCCGATTTCATGTATGAATAGAGTTTCATCCCATGAGGAGTATGTATAGAATCCAATATAGAATTCAACATTCTCATTTTTTAAATAAAAAATTCCATTTCCTCCGATTTCATGTATGAATAGAGTGGTCCAAGGGTAGTAATAAGTGCAGGTAAACTAAAATCCCTTTGATGTATTTTTTTACAATTTTTTGGCTCATAGAGGAATCAAGTGGTACAGTGTGTTTATTGGTATTTTAGCTACTAGAGGGATCAAGTGGTATGTGTGTTTGTTGGTATTTTGAAAGATTAAAAGTATGATTCTTGATTCAATTTACATTTTAGACAATGGAATCGTTTGGATGTTAGCAGGTTAATATGAAATTAGCGGAATGAATCTTTGATGTTAGCAGGTTAATATGAAATTAGCGGAATGAATCTTATTTAGAGTTTTGATCTGTGAAATTTACTAACTTGTTTAATAAATATTTTATTTAATATGCATCTCCGTCGAAATTATCATTTTGAAAAAGTTCAATATAAGAATATTTCGACAACATATAATTTTCTGAATAACACGTGAATATAAAATTTTCACACATGACTATTTATCAAACAACTATTTACAATAGTCAAATCAACTATTAAAGTTAGTTATCAACTGTCCTAACATAAACTGTTATTTACTAAACAACTATTTACTATAGCCAAATCATCTATTACAATTCACTATCAATTATCACGAATACAATCGGCTATCCCATGTTGATAAAACAAGTCATTATACCATCTAATATATGTTAAAGAGTTGTCAAAACAACCAACCTGCCAGTCCATACAAAAGGTGGGCCTGTAACTAGTTGCAGTAAACAAAATAAGTTAAATTTATTTTTNTAATAATAATAATAATAATAATAATAATAACTTTTATGAAAACAAAAGCAGTGCTAATATTAATAGATTATGCTGATAATAATATTAAAAATAATTATAAAGAAATAAATGTAGGATTAATATTAAAGTAAATAGTATTATATATATTCGTGAAACATAAAGATAAATTACCGTAGACCTAATAAAGTTATATAAAAGACAAATGACAACTGAAAGCGTTGATAACCGTAAATTTTTAGTACATACTATATATCAGAAGAACCCTCATCAGGATCATTATTCAAACATTCAACCAGTAGCATAGTAAACATAAAAGAATATATTGCAAGCCCAAGTTAATTAAGAAGAAGGCAGGACATACGACATCCTTCGAAATATGTCAGCAGGCAGGACATACGACATCCTTCGGGAATACAACTTGTTCAAGATAAACAAAAGTCACAAGGGTATTTGTAACTTCGAAATATACCTTCTTTGTAAATTACGTTGGACCTAATTCTTCTCATCTATAAGTTAGCATTGAGAATCATGGAACATGTGTTGTCATCAACGAACACTATTACATATATTGGTCTTGTGAAGCTAAACAAAAAGATTACACCGATTAAACACAACATTAACAACCACAAGCCAATAAATGCAAGTGTTATTTGCTAAATTTCTAAGAGAGAGAGAGAGAGAGAACAAACCAGGCTTGTCATTGCCTCTGGAATAGTGGAATGCATCAGATTTGGATTCCAACTTTACACAAGCCATCCCTTCAATAACACGCAAGCCAAGCAAAGAACAATCTTCCCTAGAAAAGTTCTTACAATAATTTTATCAAACATGACAAGTGCACGTAAAAATCCAAATCTCACTCTCTCACAAACTTCAATATTCCGACATAAAACGCAAGCTCTCGGTGCAATAGAATAGAGGGAAGAAAAGAAAAGAAAAAAAAAAAAGAATATGACAATTAGATTTATTGTTCAAAGCTAAAAGGAGGAAATTGCAAATTTGATCCCGTTAGATTGGGGCCGTCGCAATTTTAGTCCCAAGAGGCGCAATTTCAGTCATTAACTAATTTTTGTTGCGCAAATGGTCCTAAATCTAACTGACCGTCAAGTCACCGTTAACTTTTGGGACTAAAATTGCAACCGTCCCAATCTAACGGGACCAAACTTGCAATTTCTCAATTCAAATATATTTAAATTTATATTATTATTATAATATATATATATATAAATATATATATATATATAACTAATCAGTCCAATCAACCAATTCTGACCGGTTCATTGGAAACAGTTCGTTCAAAGGAATCAAACCGTTTAGTTGACCGATTTTAGATTCAATACCCAATTTAGCACACTTTTCAAAATAATAGTAGTTGATATTATTTCATTTTATTTTTTAAAATTTTATTAACTTCTATAGTTATATTTTTTATTTTTTATCAACCACTACTCATAATAAAATTAAATGATGAATTTCTAAATGTATTTATTATTTAATTAAAAATATTTGAAATATAGAAAATATTGTATTGCAATTAAATCTTTTAATATATTAATAATAATATAAATTTAAATTTATTTGAATTAATATATATCAAATATAATTAAGTTTATATTTTTGTTATATTAATAAATATATAAATATTTATTAACTTATTTTAATACATATATATATACACACACACACAATAGGCAAAAAAATCGGTTCATTAATTGTGTAAAGATTTGTTTCTCTTTTTTACTGGTTTTTAGTTTATCAAAACCGTTGTTTGACAATAAATATTTATTTTTCTTTTTCCTATTTTTAGTATAAATCTACACGAGCTTATCTCTTCTGTTACAAATTCTCATTGCATACGTGTGTTTAAAAAATCTCATCCATTATCTATACAGATTTGAAATAATAAAATAAAATATGAACCAATTCATAATTACTACTAGAAATCCATTATCTTTAAAAAGAAAAAAATAAATAAAATAGAAACCAATTCATAATTACTACTAGAAATCCATTATCTACTTTAAGAAGAAATCCATTATCTACTTTAAGAAGCTAATTTTTATCGGTCTAATTACTAATATTTTTACAAATATTATAAGCTAACCATACAAAAAAGTATAATAAAAATTTTGAAATGCTATGTAATCAAATTTTTTAATATTCTCTTATACAAAATAATTTTACATTGTTTGACCCCGAAACTTTAATTTATAATTATTAAGTATTGTTTATCCTCCTCTTTAATATATAATTATTTTTTTTTCTTTCTCTTTTAAAATAGGATCAATAGTAATTTCCACTTCCGGCATTGAGTGACTCAAACTCTTAAAAATATGAATGTTGTATTTTTAGAATAAAAATCAATTATGTGAACCTCTTAAAAAAACTTGTGAATTATTAATTATTTTTTTAAACATATGAAAAATCATAACTTTTAATTAATTAATTATTATTTTATAAATGAAAAGATATTCTTTCTCATATACTTGGATTTTAATTAGAAAAAAATAATATATTGATTAAAATACTGCCATGAGACGGTATACTAATCACTTTATTCTTGTTGTATGATATCTCATTTAAGAGCATCTCCAATGCTCTAATGTTGTTATAGATTAAATTATGACAAATGTCAATAAATTAAATAGATTGTAAACCATGTAGAAATAATATTAAGTTCACAACTCTGAAATTTAAAAATCATCTCCAATGCACAATGTAATTTAACTACAATATTATCTACTTACCAATATTAAAATTTTAATAAAAAGTTAGAAAATTAATTAAATAATTAAATAACTTGAAAATGGTGAGAATACTTCTCTCTCTTCTTTTCATTGGCTAGGGTGTGGAAGAGAATGTGGATGAACCACATTCTTCTCTACATTGTAGACATTAATTATGTCCACATCACCACCACATTTGTGATCACATTATACATTGGAGGATGAAAAGTTGTCATATTACTAATATGTTGATGTGGCATGTAATTTACCACAATAACATTTGAGCATTGGAGATGCTCTAAGGTTCATATATCATTTCATTAAATATGCCATATAAATAACTGAGACTTGGTATTTAATTTTTTATATATTGAACTACCATTTATTTGAAAAAAAACAAAAGAATATACAACTAAATTGTAAAATCAATGAATTTTCAATCGCATACTAAATATTTTAATGGAAGTCTAATACAAATAATTATTGTCTCGAATAAAATTATTCAGATAAATTTTATTTAATTAAAAAATATAATATAAACACAAACAAGACGGAAAACAACATGGCGAGCTAAAATTAATATATTGGCCTTGTTTGGCGATCAGCGGATTGTATCAGCGGATATCGGATAGCGGATTATATTAGCTGATTTGACCAGCGGATTGCAGCAGCGGTTGTTTAAATAAGTGTTTGATAAATAGCTGAAAGCTTATAGCTGTTTGACATTGCAAAATGACCAATAAGAACATTTTATTTTTTAGGGTGTATTCTTTTAATAATAATATATTAAAACATTTAATATTCTTTATTTGGTAATTTATAAATATATTTTTTTTTTTTAAATTTACTAATACTTGATGAAGAAGTTACGAATTTTTACATTTTTCTAGATAAATTAATCATATGGATGACATATTATTATTTATTAGCACCATGAACCAATGTAAATTGTAAAATAAATAAGACAAATTAAAAAGTTCCAAGTAAAAGATTTTTGTGAATCCTCTATTCTCAAAACGCTGCTCTAATGAGTTTTTTCTAAATTAGAGTTTTGAGCCCAAAAAGCTTATCAAATAAGCTATTTACCAAACAAACTCAATAGCGGATTTCACGGGTTAAACCTCTCAATTAAGTTCAATCCGCTAATTTATCTTTAATTT